TTATTTTACAATATTATTATTACTCTCCCATGTTTATTGCAAAAGCTTCAGGAAATCCTTCAAGGCCATTATACATGATTATACTAATTCTCTATAAAGAACATCATATACCTTGTCTTCCTTTGAACTCTCCATCTCTGACCCCTCCTTGAATTTTGCCAGTGCACTCTTGAGGTCCTGAGACGTGTAGGTGTTACTGTTGATGTCCAGCCTGTCCAAAGAGAAGCTGCAAGTCAGAAGGGAGGCACCATCTTTCCCAAGAAAGAAAACCCTGTGTTGCTGGCACTCCAAGGAGAGCTAAGTCAGGCCAGCTCTAACTCAGAGCATGCTATTCTATCTTTGCCAGGTTCAGCCCAAAGTCCAACAGGATGATCTTACCTTGAAGCTAGAGGAGGAAAGAGATGAAGATGGGGTCACTTCATGAAAGAGGAAGAAATGGCATGAGGCAGACAGAGGCACATCATGAACAAAGAGCTCTCAGCCAACTCCTCAGGCAGAAAGAAGTCTGGAATGTCTGTGCAATGCTGCTCTCAGCACATGTGAGATTAAGACCTCCTAGAGGGCACAAACAGAGGAACTAACATACACCCTATTTATATTCTTCTAGGAAAGGGACCAACAAGGACCTGAACCTCCTAAGCGTGTACCTGACCTGATTCGTTAAGTCAGTCTGTCCTTACAAAAATAAGTTGGATAACTTCATACCTTTAAGACCAACCCCTGAGCACAGAATAGATGCAGGAGACATGGGTCAACATGACAAAGGAATGGGTTTGAGATACCGAGGACTAAAACCAAAGCCAACCACCCTCCATAGCCAGACTCCAAGGAGAGAGAGGAAAGAAATCAATGTGGATGTAACATTAGGAACCTGGCAAAGACTATAAGGGTACCCTCATGAAGACCCCTGGAGCTGATCCAAACCACAACCATTCATCTTGACTAGAGAGAAGGCATTCATGGGTTGGGAGGTCGAAGACAGATTTTGGACCAGCACTCATTTCAGTTCACTGAAGAAAGGTAAGAAAAAGAGTGATACAAACAGACAAAGAGAAGTGTGGAATGTGGGCTGTGCTTGACAAGACTGTCCAGCTGGTATGGTGGTTACGTTCAACCTAGGAGAAACACAAGAGGTTGGGGAAGACGGGACTACTCAACTGCTCCACTCCAGGAGAGATAACCACATCAGTCTTGTGGTCCAAGATCCTAGCAGGCCTCAGTTCTCATGAGAGGTACTCACTCAGTCTTTGATCCATCCTAGAGACCCCCTTAGGGCCCTGAGAAAAACGTTTGTCTTCTTTAAACCTCAGTCCTCCTGAACTAATTAATAACAGCTAATTATCCCATTAATTGAACAATTAACCATGTATCAGGCACTATTTTAATCTTTTGGAAGTAATATTTCATTTAAATCACTACTACCATTTTATCAGGAAGGGGAAAGAATCCCCCTCCTGCCAGATGCATGAGGATTCCACTGCCCTGCCTCTTGCCTGTAAAAGTGAGCTAAGTATTTAGGGCCATAACTTTAATAGATTATCTCCTCCTTCCTCCAAGACTTGGTCAGGAATAATCTTATCATGTCTGTATCTCTGTTTACTGCCTAAAGTCCCACTCTCCTAGGCCATCTATCATCACCCACTCTCAGCCCCAACTACACACAAACAAGTGTGCACATGTGTGCCTCCATGCTAACAGGCACACACACAACTATCCTCAGCTGGTATTCTCACGTCATTCTTCACTAAGAAAAATAGATGTTAACATCAAGAACTCCCTCTTCCTCCCAGCATCAGCTCTATACATCAACCTGCATCTGAATCTACATTTTCTGTTATCCTTTCTATTAGGATGGATGACTGTGTTCGTGCTCCTACTAAACTAAGGCTGGATATCCCAGTTACCTTATCAAAAGCTTTAACTCCCATAATTATACCACTCCCACCTGCCTGCATCAATTGTTCCTTGACTGAATTATTTCCATCAGCATACCAATACTCCTTTGACTCCAAAATTTCTATCTATCATGGAAATTCCCTGATCCTGTTCAGAGTAAAACTACATGAACACATTGTCTTCATTCACTATCCACACCTCCTTCAATGCTATTTACATGGCCATATGCATTGACCTGGATTCTGCAGGTCTACTAAACTCTACTAAACAACTACTAAAACTGCTCACCAGAATTACCAATAATTGGTGGCCAAATTCCTCAGCCACTAAGCAGCATTTACACAGTTCCCTCCTTAAAATACCCTCCTTTCCTGGCTTCTTATTGCCACACACTCCTGGTTCTTCCCCTTTCTTACTCCTTCTCTAATTCCTCTTGTCAATTCCTTGTCTCCTACCTGAACCGTCTATGCTGAACAGCTTGGGAGTTCAACCCTGGACAATCTTTTCTTCTCTATCTCTATAGTCTTCCCTAGATCTTTTGAAATATCTATCAAGCAGTGATGCCCAAATGTGTATCTTTGGCCCAAACTGCTCCCCTGAGTACCAGCCAGACTCCTGTATAACTACCTAACTGACACATCTTGGATCGAGGATGTTTAACAGTCACTCCACACTTACTACATCTAAAACCTAGGTCTTGATGGTTCTCCCCATATATGTGTCCCTCTCACAATCTTTTCTATTTCAATAAATATTACCTTCAAGTACCTAGCTGTACAAATCCCAATATGAAGCTTTACAAATCCCAATATGAAGCTTTACCCTGAATCCCTACCCCTTTTTTCAACCCCTACATCCTAATCATAAGCAAGTCCTATTGCCACTACCTACAAATTAAATCTCCTAATCCATCCACTCCCCAACTATGACACCCTAGACTGAGCCACCATTATGTTCTGCCTGACCCACTTAAATGACATTCCAACTGTC